AATTAATTCGTATTAGCACCACGTACACGTATGCGGAGTTTATTGAGATATGATTCAAAGTGTAGTCAATTATTACAATGTAGTTAGCATTATTGAAAGTAGTTGATCAGTTTGCAAGTGGAAATCAATGAAGAAATTCAGATGAATAGATGAGCATAAGAAGCGTGTGCATGGAAAGTTAAATAGATAATTAATATTAAATACTATAAAAAGATAACCTGTTGTTACCAGACGTTGAAGGATGAAACAGGCAATGTTCAAATGTTTCTTGCTCATTGAATATTGCTTAAAGCTGTAGAACGTAAAGAGCCAACTCAACCTCTAGGAGACCATCATGCAAAAAGCAGCCTTGAGGATGGACATCATTGAACCGATAGTAAGTGCTGTTAGTCGTTTTGATGATGGCAGTGAAGTGACTACCAGTATTATTGAAACCAGCAGAAAGACGGTATCTAAACATAAAACAAGTCGAGATTATTTTAAAGGACAATTGACAACTTACTCATGTTCGCCAATATGCAAATGATCCGGTAATTCTGTCATAAAAGAATGGTTAGTCCCGACACTGACAATGACGAATGCTGCTGTATGTTGGAATCTTGTTACCTCTATTGTTCGCGATGCTTGACATATATAGCGTATTCTAAAGTTCAAAAGTATACGCAAAAGGAAATAGATAAAAGGAACTCTTACTCTAAGCGGACAACATTGGTTCCTGCATCGATGACCGGAAACCGATCGTCAACTATGTATTGTGCTGGATAATCCAAAGGTTCAACTGGACCAAGACTTTCACCACAGAGAGCTGCACGATCAGTGCCGAATGCTGGTATGAAGTTTAGGTAGTGTCCTTTGACTTTCCTGTATAATGTCAAAGATTTAATAAATTAGATTGAACTATCAAGTTAAAAGAACATTTCAGAACCGGATATACATTATCGGTAGTAAAAGATAGTCCGTGGAAAATGAAATAATAAGATAGTAAATTTCGTTGATAAGACGATCTGATTTTTTTAAGAAACTATTGTTCTAGCAGTGAAGACTTAAGTTTTAAATAAATTCACCTTAGTGCGATGTCTACACTTGTACTCTCACGTATAGATTTTTGACAGACGCTACAGGAGCACTTGGATTTGATTGGAAAAGCTTGCATCGGTTGAATAAATCGAAAGACAATTTCATTCAAAGTGTTTTCAATATCGTATTGACCATTTTTAGTTTTCACTTTAAGAAGATTGTTTTGTGTAAGCCAATGGAGACGAGCAGTAGTCCATCCATCACTTTCGACGTGTTGAAACGTACGACGAAGTAGAATAAAAGCTTCAAGAGTATCGGTCTCGAATAGATCACGAAAGCGGTCAGTACCAACTTTGTAGGCATGATATAGGACGAATAGACCTGTGTCGAGTGGACAGGTGTGGAATACAGAGAAGCATTCACCGACATATATTGCATCTTTTATTCCATATCGTAGCCATGTGAGGTTAAGATTGCCAATTTTTGTCGTAAGATCGTCTCTTGTGAGTGCAAAGTTTTGTTTGTCGATTGAATTTGGTGCTGAAGACTTGACTGTTTTCTATCGGGATTTTTTTGGCGTTTGTGGCTTCGATAGAGATCGGCTGCTGTCTGATGCAGAATGTGGGCGCTTTGGAGAAAACGGTCGAGATAAGCTAGTACCATTAATAAGAAAGACAGAGTCGTTAGCGTATCTTGAATTTGGTACATGTCGCCGAGCACTTCGTCGTTCAGCTCTTTTATCCTCGAGATCACTGGTACTCGCAGAAGTTACTAATGTTGACAAAATATTTTCACACGAATCTGAAGTTATGAGTGGCAATAGATTGAGACTAGTTGATGAAGAAGACGATGAAATAACTTTCGAATTACAAACACTCTGATCTTTTTTCACCAGCTTATTCGATGACATTACAGAAAATCCAAACGAGGTATCTGTAATAGAATTCTATTACAAGTCAAAGGACAATACCTAAACTTCATACCAGCATTCGGCACTGATCGTGCAGCTCTCTGTGGTGAAGGTCTTGGTCCAGTTGAACCTTTGGATTATCCAGCACAATACATAGTTGACGATCGGTTTCCGGTCATCGATGCAGGAACCAATGTTGTCCGCTTAGAGTAAGAGTTCCTTTTATCTATTTCCTTTTGCGTAGTATAGAAGGATTTATGACTTATGTCAAGCAACTCGGATCGGATTATCATAAGTTGGATGTTGATAGTAACGGCTATACAAAGTCGGACAGCATATGGGGTCGACTGGCGGAATTTACTAAAATTCCCACAAAACATACCTTTGAAACTCGAAAGTGGCTCTACACAACATGGCATGATAATCGCCGAAAAGTCCGCACAACATTTCTCACCAAACAAGTTGACGATCTTCTTCCAGATCATTTAAATCAATCATTCAATGATGATGAAACAGAAAACATATCGCGTGTAGAGACGGTAAGCTTCTGTTTTCTTATGACGAAAGTCATAAAATAATAGGATCAGTTCAGATACTTAATCAAATTAAAGATCGAAGGCCTGATACTTCGAACTTGATACATACCTAGTTTTAATCTTGTGAACATATTTAGTTTAACTGTGAAACTGAAAATAACTGTGAAATTTCAGACAAATATTTACACTTCAGCTAACATATCCTCTCTATGATTTTACTCGAGATCGATTCGAATGACTATCTAATATAGAATAAAATTATCGCAATAGAAAAAATGACTGAGATATAAGTTTTCTAGTAGACATATGAACGAATACAAAAATTTAAAAAAGATAAAATTAGAGCTAATATGGTTTTTGTATGTATATTTAGACAACGCACAATGCTTCTTTATTAACGAATCCTTCAGTTGAACCCAAACTCATGCGATCGAAAGATATTTCAACTTCTCGTTATGTTCATCACTTCACAATGACTCATGAGCAATGGCGAGTATTCTATAATCGCAAGATCTGTGATGTATGCGCTGATTGGAGAAATCAGCTCATTCCACATCTTATTCGACTCGGTATCAATTGCCCTATCGCCTTTCGATATCATCACACACGAAAAAAGAACTCGCGCAAAAAGCACTGCAATTTGCTCAGTGGAACGGCTCGTTGCAAGTTTAATATGTGTCCGGTAATTGTCGAAGTTGAAGTTGAAGATGAACCAAAAAACAAAAGCAGTCCATGTATATTCAAAGTCATAGCTCTGGGCGATGCAAAGCACGATCCAGAGAAAGAGACAGCAAGCCACCCATTGATTGGAATGGCTCGAGAAGCCATGGGTATGTTTTCAGCGTTTCTCGAAAATGTCATATCGGAGTTCTTATTTTAGCAAAAGCCATTCATCAAGTGGGAGCATTAAATGTTTTTGAGCGTAATATGCGATTTGCCAATGACGATCTTCTACGAGAAGGAAATTTTAGCGAAGTTCCATCAATGGATGTATTAAAGACAGCTAAGCAACAGTACAATCAGAAATATCGACTTGATGAAGATTATTTCAAAGAATTGCGCATGTTTCGATATTTAACTCATTCAATAGATCACTCTTCTGAACATATTAAAGGTAAGGATTTTTCTGCTCGATCAATAGTTTACATTTTAGATCGAAATTTAATTACTTCTTTTTTAAATTTAATTTCGAAATTGCATGCAATATTTGTATTGATATTGCACCAAGCTCATTACAATTAGTAGCAGATCTTGCTAAATAAAAGGAATAAGTCAATATATTTTCGATATATACGTAAAGATGTCTGCTTTCTGTTTTCTGAGATGAATCAGGGGGAAAAAGGCTTGTCATGACATTCTTATCAGTCCGAATTCATTAAAATCTATTCGAACTACTAGAAAAAGAACTTAAAATTTAACTTTAATTTTATTTCTACATAGGTTATGTGCAAACATGTGGTGAATGGCTGTTTACTGTTCATTTCTTTACTGAAGCACAACCTGATCGATTCGCAAACTACTGCAAGACTGAGAAATATTCATATTTATATGTCGATGCTACTGGTTCTGTTGTACGAAAACTAAAACATCAAAAAGAAGTTTTGTTTTATTCTATGGTATTTCAAGATAAAAATTCCTCAATAATGCCACTTAGTGGAGCACTACTAAGTGATCATACAGCCGCCTCTATTACTTCCTATTTCAATTGTGTCCGAAATAAACTAGCAATACGTAGCAAAGTTGCGCGTCCAGCCTTCATTGTTACTGATTTTTCCGCTGCATTAATTAATAGTGTACTCGCCTCATTTAATGTTGAGAAAATTCACAACCATTTGCGTCGCTGTTACAATACACTTGATCGCGCCTATGACACTAAACAATTGCGTAATATGACATTTGTACGATTGTGCTGTTGCCATGCAATGAAAGCTTTCTCTCGTAGTCTTTTCAAGTTGGATATATCAAAAGAAACTCGTCATTATTTAATGTCGCTTTTTGCTATACTACTGAATTCTACCGATGTCGAAGGTGCATTCGATTTGTACGAACAAATTATGAATATTTATGGAAATCCGTATTTCGAGCACTCATCTAATGCACTGGCTTTACTTTTGAATAAATCTGATTTATCTCAATTTGATATCAAGCCGTTTTTGTCAGAAAGCGATGTCCAAGATGATAACCCAAATCAACAAGATTTTCTGGATGAACTAGGTATAACTACAAATCCGATTATTCATCAATCACCATTTAATGTTAAAGCACGTGCTCGTATACCAGCTCTACGTCGAGTCATTGACAAAGAAACACTCAATATAGACTTGTAACTCTCTTTATTCACCAAAAATCGTTCACTTGCTACACAAATGGTTCGCTTATCTTCCTCTCTGATCTTGTATAATGACCGATTTCCTTGAAAGGCAAGTTTCTTTCAGTGTATTGATAAGGATTACTATTGCTTTTCATTTAGATATGCTAAAGACAGGAAAGGTGTGTCAACAACCAACTGGGAGTTTGGACGTGGACGGGTTTCAAATGCTTCAGTTGAGACATATTTCCGGACTGTCAAGTCATCCGTTCTTGAGCACAATACTAATCTTCGACCCACTGACTTTTTAATAAAAAGTTACAAACATACACTTTCACGTTTCAAACGAGATCAGTTCGGTGTAACTCAGTCTTCGCACGGTTGAAAAAAGACACGTGGCAAACTGGATGATTTAAACGTGAAGGAAACATGGCGACGTCGTGGTCGACCGAAAACAAAAACTGATAGAAGTGGATATTATTTTGGTGATAGTGTCAGTCAAACAAACGCATGTAAATTATCGTAAGTTGATTGTGCAAGTGATTTCCACTTGCAAACTGATCAACTACTTTCAATAATGCTAACTACATTGTAATAATTGACTACACTTTGAATCATATCTCAATAAACTCCGCATACGTGTACGTGGTGCTAATACGAATTAATT